CATAGAGGACACTACCATACCGGACACTACCATACCGGACACTACCATACCGGACACTACCATACCGGACACTACCATACCGAACACTACCGTACCCACCATTACCATACTACCGGACACTACCATACCAACCATTACCATACTGGACACTACCATACCAACCATTACCAATGCAAAAAAAAAAACCCCGGACACTACCATACCAGCCATACCGGACACTACCATACCGGACCACACTACCATACTGGACACTACCATACCGGACACTAGGACACTACCACTACCGGACACTACCGGACACTACCATACCAACCATTACCATACCGGACACTACCATACCAACCATTACCATACAGGACACTACCATAACCAACCATTACCATACCGGACACTACCATGCTAACCATTACCATACCAGACACTACCATACTGGACACTATCATACCGGACAGTACCATACCATACCAACCATTACCATACCGGACACTACCATATTGGACACTACCATATTGGACACTACCATACCCACCATTACCATACCCACCATTACCATACTGAACAGTACTATTTGTTTTGCATAGTAGTGATGAGCTCAGGTGTGTTTGGACCCACCTGTGCTATCCTGCCAGGAAGCTGTCAAAACAGCCAATCATAGGAGGAATATGCATTGCCCGCCCCAGAGCCGCACATATGCCAACGAGCCATTACATTATAACGACTCCCCAAAACTCCACTAGAACTCCGAAGGCATGTTGTGGTATCCGGCACCAAGCTGTCAATAGCAGATCCTTCAAGTCCTGTAAGTTGCGAGGTGGGGCCTCCATGGATCGGATTTTGTTTTTTCAGCACATCCTACAGACGATCAATGAATTAAGATCTGGAGGCCAAGTCAACACCTCAAACTCATTGCTGTGATCCTCAAACCATTCTTGATTTCCTAAGGCCAGGCCACCTTCTTCCATTGCTCTGTGGTCCAGTTCTGACTCTCATGTGTCCACTGCTGACTGTATGGCCACCCTGACCAGTCTGCAGCTACACAGCCCACTGCGATGCTCTGCGTGTTCTGACACCTTACTATCAGAACCAGCATTCACTTTTTCACCAATTTGAGCTCCAGTGGCTCTTGTATTGGATCGGACTAGAAAGGCCCGCCTTCCTTCCCACCTCCATCATTGAGCCTTGGCCGCTCATGTCCCTGTCCCTGGTTGGCTGGTTCTCCTTCCTTGGACACTTTTGGACGGTCCTGACCACCGCAGACTGGAAATCCCCACAAGAGCTGCAGTTTTGGAGTTGTTCTGATCCAGTCACCCAGCAATTACAATTCGGTGTCTGTCAAGGTCCCTCCGATCCCTACACTTGTCCATTGTTTCTGCTTTCAACTTCAGGGACAACATGTTCACTTGCTGCCTAAAATATCCCGCCCACTTTCAGCCGCCATTGTAAGGAGATCATCCATGTTATTGGCTTTACCTCTCATCGGTCAGAACAGTATGGCGGATCGGAGTGTATAAGGCCCCATTCACCTCTGCGCGTTTTGTAGCAGAATCACCGCCATTCTTCTGCAATCCCAAACGACAAATGCACCGCGCCCGTTCTGGTGCCGCTCATTTTCAATGGCACCAAAACGCAATGCGGTTCTGCCCATTATTGTCGCGCTGCAATTGCGGCAAACCACATTGCGCAAACCCTGTGCCCCCCCCCCCTCCAGAAAAGCAGGAGCTTCTTTTGGGCGACAAGCTTTGCCGCGTTTTGACGCCACTGAAAACCTGAACAAGTGATGCGCAATTCGTCGTCTCTGCGGAGCGTTTTGGAATCGCCGGGCAGAACCGCGGCGACTCTGCCTGAGATCGCCGATGCTCAGGCCCCGTTCCCACTACGGCTTTTTGAATCGCGGGCAGAATTTGCGATTTCCAAAATGATCTGCTAAAATCGGAAACCGCGCAACCGTGTGTTCGGGGGGGCGCCGTTCGCTTGAATGGCACCTGAAAGTGCGGCGCGGTACTGACGCACGATAAATCGCACTGCAGTTGCGGCAACGCGTGGCAACCAAAAGTTTCAAGAAATGAATAAAATGAACGGCGCCTGAACGAGCGGTTTGGGGGCAGGGGCGGACTGACAACTCATGGGGCCCCCGCAGGGGCGGACTGACAACTCATGGGGCCCCCGCAGGGGCGGACTGACAACTCATGGGGCCCCCGCAGTGGTGGACTGACAACTCATGGGGCCCCCGGGCAAATTGGGGATCATGGGGCCCGTGTCCTCGCCCACACTCTTCAAACCACACCTAAAAAAGCCTATGAAAGGTACCAGGGGCATCTCATGGGGCCCCCCTACTGACCCCGGGCCCTTGGCAGTGCCCGAGAGCCCAAATGGTCAGTCCGCCCGTTTCGGGGTTTCTCATTTTAGCGCAGCGTTTTGCAATTTTGGCAGAATCGCCGCGATTCCGCCAAAGATCACAAACACAATGGGGGGGTATTAAAACCAGAGCAGACAGAATCTGGTGGACCTATTCACCGCAACCAATCAGCTTCCAGCTTGAGTTTGTTCAGTTAAGTTTTAAAAAATGAAAGCTGGAAGCTGATTGGCTGCCGTGCACGGTTCTGATAACTCCCCCTCAGCCATTAACACACAAAACATCCATCTCGGATGTAGGAATCTACTGACAGACACACACACAGCATCGCGGGGCTCACCAGCATCTCCCATCTCTCGCTTCCCTCATCCCTCAGCGCAGCCTAACCGGTTGACCATCAGACTGACAAGCCGCCTCTCCAACCACAGCGAGCGTCCCGCCCACTTCCCTGACAGCAAGGACCAATCACCGCGAGCCTGCTCTTTCCACCTTCCCAAGATTGGGTGAGAGCCCAGTCGCCTAGGAAACGGCTTTCACCTTCTCTCCTGCCGTTGAGCATAGAGCTGGCCAATGGAAATGGAGTACGGCTGAGCGGCAGGTGTTAAATCCAATCAGTGAGCAGCCGGGGAAGGTTGGTAGAGGGGAAGAGGAAGCGTTTTGTCCTGTTACCATGGAGACATGCTGCCGCTTGGTGGCTGGGAGGACGGTTGGAGGTGTGGCAGAGGATACAATACACAATGCAGCAACGGTCGTTCCAGGATGTATTGGAATGTCCAGAATCCTCCACAGCCGGCCAGTGTGCTGAGTGCAATGGAGTCCAATGGGACAAGACCTGTGGGGGAGGGGGGAACCTGCACGGGGCGGCCTATCGGCGCCATTCACTACGACCGTCTCTGCAATGCGCACAGAAAACGCGGAAAACGCTAGAAATACGCTAGAAATGTGTGTTAGGCTGCGTTCTGAGCGAAGCATTTTTCAGCGGTTTTCATGCACATTTTAAAAAATCACAGAAAAAAATAGCAACAAACGATGCAATAGATTATATTTTTCTCTATTGGCTAATAAACAAAAATGCAAAGCTCAAAAATGGCTAAAAACACTGTATAAAAATGCGCAAAAATCGTGCTAAAATGTGCACGAAAAAAAACGCTGACGTTTTGCCATCAGCTTTTAGTTTTTTATTATTATTATTATTATTCATTTATTATTTTTTTTGTTAGGGTAAGGGGTTAGAGTTAAGGTTAGGTTAGGGTTTGGTTTGGGGTTAGTATTTTATTTATTATTTCTTATTATTTATTTATAGTATTTTATTTCTTATTTTCTTATTATTTATAATATTTTATTTCTTATTATTTATTTATAGTATTTTTTATTTATTATTTATAGTATTTTATTTATTATTATTATTTTATTTATAGTATATTATTTCTTATTTATATTATTTTATTTATTATTTATTTATTTATAGTATATTATTTCTTATTTATAGTATTTTATTTATTATTTATTATTATAGTATTTTATTATTATTATTATTTATTATTATTATTATTATTTATTTATTGCTTATTTATTTATAGTATTTTATTTATTATTTATTATTATTTATAGTATTTTATTTATTTTATTATTATTTATTTATAGTATTTTATTTATTATTATTTATTTATAGTATTTTATTTATTATTTATAGTATTTTATTTATTTTCTTTTTTTTCTTTCTATTTATTTGTTAGGGTAATAATAATAATATTAAATTAATAAATACATGTAAAATAAATACACAAATATATTAAAATAATCATAAAATAAATACTTGTAATAATAAATGAATAAAAATGAACCTATAACCTTAACCCCCTAAAACCTAAAAAAGTAATAAAATAATAATTGTGTGTTCACTCTCCTCTCCCCCCTCCACCCGCTGACACCTGCTGCCATGTTGGCCCCGGGCCCTCAGATGGGCAAGCGGGAGGATGTGGAAGCAATCGAGTGGAAGCGGAGCCACCCAACTGGAAGTCCGCCTGTCAGCTTTAGACACACAATGTACAGAATGCAGCAAAGGTGGAGGGATGGCAGGTCAACTGCAGGAGTAGGATGCAGGAGAAATGGTGGAAGGACAGATCCACTGCAGGAGTAGAATGCAGCAGAAATGGTGGAAGGACAGATCCACTGCAGGAGCAGGGTGCAGCAGAAGTGGAGGAATGACAGATCTACTGCAGGAGTAGGATGCAGGAGAAGCAGAGGAATGACAGATCCACTGCAGGAGTAGGATGCAGGAGAAGCAGAGGAATGACAGATCCACTGCAGGAGCAGGGTGCAGCAGAAGCGGAGGAATGACAGATCTGCAGATTGTCAGGTCAGGAGGGAAGGGAGATGTTCAGAAGCAGGGATGAGTATTAGCATATGCCAGGAAATGCACCACAACTTCTGCTGATGAATTCTATGCTCTGGGTGGAGTCTTCAGGGTTCAGCTCAGCCACAATTTCCCTCTCTCGGTATTTCTCATGAGGGAACACATATTTAGACTTTTGAGTACAGGACTACTTTGGGAAAAATCAATGCTTTCCCACATCAATCATGGCTGCCTCTCACTGCTATCAGGTCATGTGACCAATGCACAGCACGCCCACAGGAAGTGAAGATGCTGGGAGCCCATGTGAAGGTAACCCTGTGTTCTGTGAGCCATTCATAGGATTGTAGTGTAGCTTTGCCTGCAGATCCGGCCTTCCTATATCCCTGTTTCTGGAAGATCTTCCTCCATGATAGACTGACTTCAGAGGAACTACAAGTCCCAGCATATCTTTGAGGCTGTCAGTTGTGCTAAAATTATAATTTGCCTTGCAGCTGAATAAATGCCCAATCAGCCTGTTCTGATGTTCACATTATCACCCCAAATGGGAGTTTGTACAACCACCCCCTGGGGCTGCAGTTGGGAGAGCGCTGGTGTCCTGTGATCAGTTCCCACAATCCATGTGGAGTCAGTCTAGGTTCACACACTGCTGACACAGAAATATGGGGGGAGACCCAGGAGGACCCCACTGCTGACACAGAAATATGGGGGGAGACCCAGGAGGACCCCACTGCTGACACAGAAATATGGGGGGAGACCCAGGAGGACCCCACTGCTGACACAGAAATATGATTGGAGACCCAGGAGGACCCCACTGCTGACACAGAAATATGGAGGGAGACCCAGGAGGACCCCACTGCTGACACAGAAATATGGTAGGAGACCCAGGAGGACCCCACTGCTGACACAGAAATATGGGGGGAGACCCAGGAGGACCCTACTACTGACACAGAAATATGGAGGGAGACCCAGGAGGACCCCACTGTTGACACAGAAATATGGTAGGAGACCCAGGAGGACCCCACTGCTGACACAGAAATATGGGTGGGAGACCCAGGAGGACCCCACTGCTGACACAGAAATATGGTGGGAGACCCAGGAGGACCCCACCGCTGACACAGAAATATGGGAGGAGAGACCCAGGAGGACCCCACTGCTGACACAGAAATATGGGAGGAGACCCAGGAGGACCCACCGCTGACACAGAAATATGGAGGGAGACCCAGGAGGACCCCACCGCTGACACAGAAATATGGGAGGAGACCCAGGAGGACCCCACCGCTGACACAGAAATATGGTGGGAGACACAGGAGGACCCCACTGCTGACACACAAATATGGTGGGAGACCCAGGAGGACCCCACTGCTGACACAGAAATATGGTGAGACCCAGGAGGACCCCACTGCTGACACGGAAATATGGTAGGAGACCCAGGAGGACCTCACCGCTGATACAGAAATATGGGAGGAGACCCAGGAGGACCCCACTGCTGACACGGAAATATGGTAGGACACCCAGGAGGACCCCACCGCTGACACAGAAATATGGTAGGAGACCCAGGAGGACCCCACCGCTGATACAGAAATATGGTAGGAGACCCAGGAGGACCCCACTGCTGACAAAGAAATATGGGAGGAGACCCAGGAGGACCCCACCGCTGACACAGAAATATGGGGGGAGACCCAGGAGGACCCCACTGCTGACACAGAAACATAAAAAATCCAGATTAGATTTTGCAAAATCTTATGCAGGCCATAAACGGGTTGAAAATCGTCCGATTTGTGGGCCGAAAAAAAAATTGGCCGATTTTCGCACCGTTAGTGGGTTAATTGGTCGGTTGTTTTTCGGGGTTTGGGCACATTTTTTTTATCGGTAAAGTTGGAAAATTCGGCCGATTTTCCCGGCAATGATGGGCAAACCGGCCAATCGTTTTACCGATAAAAAATCTGCGCATGAGCCATGACCTGGAGGAAGAAGAAAGAGAAGAATTCCAGTCCGCTATTATATTTTATATGAAGAGTCTTGCGGTTGCAACAATATATCTACTTGTATCCGAATAAAAACATCTGTAACCGAAATTGATACAAATGGATACATTGTTGCAACCGCAAGACTTTTCATATACATATAATAGCGGAGCTCTCTGCAGGGACAGAAGTAATTAAATGCCGGTCGTAGACGAGACGGAAGTCCGCCAAATTTTTTTTCTTTTTTCTTTTAACCATTGGTGGTAACGTCGGTCTATTGAACGACCAATTTTTTTTTTTCAAACGGACGGTTTTTCGACCCGTCTATGGCCTGCATTAGTGTTTGTGGAGCCGTCTCCTGATATTATCTGCTCAATGCATTTTCTGTTGTTTTTGTTTCAGCGCCTGTTGAAGGATGCGGCCATCATTCTTTGTGGGGGAGGGCTCCTGGTCTCCTCTTACCTTACCATCAAAGGTGACGAACGTTTCTACGCCGAACAATTGATGCCAATGTTGCAGAAGATAATATCCCCGGAGCAGGCGCACACTCTGTCTATAAGGTTTGCAGCGCTGGGGCTGCTCCCGAGATGCACGCAACCCGAGTCACAACGTCTGGTATGTACTGGCTTACTAATATTGTGTGTATGGTCATCAGGGCCGTGGATAAGGGGGTACCACTGGTTCTCCTGTATGGGGCCCAAGCCAGCTGTGGGGAGGGGCAGGAAGCTGGGTGGATCGAATGTGGTCAGGGAGGGCAATCAGCGCGGGGTGGGGGGCAATTACTGGAACTGATCCCCTGTATGGCTCTCTCTCTGCAGCAGCTGAAAGTTGGCTTCTTCAGCTCTCTGCAGAGAAAGCCATACGATTGGCCTTTTACCACATCACGTGATCAGCTGTGTCCGTAGGACAGCGGGGTGCGCGCCGCTGGGGGCGCGTGAGAGGGTGGCGTTTTGGGAGGATGTCATATGACGCCCTCCCAGAACTGGACAACCGCACTGTAGCCGCCATTCGGCTATAGCCAAGTGGTTAAACCGGTATTAAAAAACAAATTGGGGCCCCGAGCGGCTTAGGCCATACTGTGCTAGGATGCAGCGCAGACTTACATTAAAACACAGCCCTCCAATGGCACGCTGTCACGGCTCTCGGCACTTCCATCTTCACCTGGCCTTCCTTCCGGGTTTGCGGTTTCCGGATGTTTGAATGGTCGGGCCGCGATGACGTCACGGCCCGCGGCACAGCGCTCTCAATAATCGGGATTCTCCGGTATGCCATCCATTCAGAGTGCAGTGCAATGCACCGCCGACGTCACCGGCCTCTACAAATGTGAATATCTCCTAAAGTTGACCTGTACCTACAGGTAGGTCTTATCATAGCCTTGCCTGTAGGTACACGTCATAAAGCAGACTTTACTACTGCTGTAAGGTAAGTGGTTACATCAAAGTGACTCTGCCATGAGGGAAGTATAGGGGCTGCCTGACTTGACCTGTTGGCGCCGACTGTACGCAAATATGCGGCCTCTCGGCGGCTGGGCCTTGATGCTGAGAGGTCGTGGATTTGCACACCTAAAAACATGTGCAAGATTGCGCGCTCCCGGCAGCTCAGTGAACGGTCCCGATCACAAGTAGTGATCATGCAACTGCTGTGACAGCCCGTCACGGCGGTCACATGACCTTAAACCCTGCCCCGCCTCCCAGCGTCACAAACCCCTTAAAGGGCCAGCAGGTTAACCTCTTCACACCGGCCGCACGCAAATGTGCGGCCTCCTGGCGTCTGGGCCTAGACGCCGAGCGGCGGCCGCACATTTGCGGTCTATTAAAAAAGGACATATGTGCCGAGAGCACATGCCCTGCGCGCTCCCACCAAACATGTCTGGTACTCACGGAAAGGTCCCGATCTCCTCTTTCGATCGGGACCTTTCCCGATCATGTGACCGCCATGACAGCGCGTCACGGCGGTCACATGACCCTAAACCCCGCCTTCCGGCTTCTGAAACTCTTAAAGGGCCGGGAGGCGCTGGCGTGAAGGGGTTAAAGTGGTTGTAAATCCTTACATATAACCAGTGAAGTGACTGGCCCCAGGTGATACACAGAGATGAAACAAATTCTCCTGCATAAGTTGTACCTGTTTATCTGCAGACTTATCTCCTCCACAGCTTTTGTAAGTATAGCATCTACACAGCTTTTTTGAGCTTCCGGCAGGCAGGGGACAGGGATGTATACTTTTCATACATACAGTGCTGCTCCTATGTTTTCCCTTTGTCCTCCTGGACCTTTATTTCCCCAGGAGGTGAATGTTTTAGGCTGCAGGTTCAGGAACCCGGTGGGATTAGCTGCAGGCTTCGATAAACACGCAGAGGCTGTGGACGGGCTCTTCAGAATCGGCTTTGGCTTCGTAGAGGTCGGAAGTGTTACACCAAATCCTCAGGATGGGAATCCAAAGCCAAGAGTGTTTCGTCTAGGGCAAGACCAAGCCGTTATCAACAGGTAAAAGGTACTAAGGAACAATTTCAGGCAACAAGGGAACCCGATTGGTGAGCAACCGATGCGATCCGACAAACTGCTAATATAAGAGGGTTCACTCCGTTTACTTAGTGCTTGTTTGTTTTTTATTCATCGTGGTGCCTTTAAATAAACAAAAAAAAAAAAACAGCTTTTTCCATTGAGTCCTCATGCAGACGGGGCGGTTTGATAACGCTGGTGCTGTGTAAAGTTAAGTTAAAAAAGCGAGCTTTTCAGGTTTTTTTTTAGCGTTTTTTTTGCATTAGTGTTTAGCAACGTTTTTAACTGCAAAAAAAAAAAGCATTTATTATTTTTGTCCAAAAGGTGAACTAATCCTTTAAGAAAAAAAAAAACATAGATGGAAGGGGATGTGAGGGGGGGGGGTAAGATGAAAGTCTGCTTCGATTTGAGACCCACGTTGTCTATTGCAGCAAGAATCCCGAACACACCCCCCCCCCCCCCCCCCCCCGGGTTAGTGCCCTTCCTGACCCCTGTGCTGTGTAGGTTCTACTCTCTTTGCTTCTTGTAGAACGTTTCACCTTTAGACTTTGGGGTTTGAATCGAATTGGTGGTTTAACCACCTCCCGTCCGGCCGTTGTATGTAAACGTCCGGACGGTGGCAGTGCAGGGGCGGGTGGCTGTTTATAAACGGCCTCCCCGCACCCAGCTTGTGCGCGCTCCCTGGAAGCGCGCAGCACTGCGATACAGTGCCCGCTGTGTCCTCCCACAGTGAAACACCGATCGTCGGACGGGACCTCTGTACGAGGTCCCGATCATGTGATCACTGATTGACCAACCAGTGATCACATACAAAGTAGTAAGCAAGATGTCACTTGTGACATCATTGCTTACTATGTGTGAAATCTGTGAATGATCACAGAGATTACATGGTACAGGGCTATTCACAACACCCTTGTACCATGTGACAAGCTGTGACCAATCACAGCTCACACAGTAGTTCTCAATGGCTGCAAGAATGCAGACAGAGAAAGAGAAATTATTGCTTTTGCATCCTATAGGGGTGTAAAAGCAATCAGTGTAAAAAAAAAAAAAAAAAAAATCTTCATCACCCCCCACAATTAGTACAGTGTCACCATGGCGACATTGTACTGCTAGGGTGACAGTACGTAAAAAAAAAAAAAAAACCCACATAAATAATAATATAAATATATATGAATGTAAAAAAAATGTTTAAAAATTAAAATTTTTGGTTAGAAACTAACTTGGCTTATTTTTTTTTTTTTTTTTTGCTAAAATGATAACGGAATACATTTTTGGCCAAGATTTATGATGAAATATTATTCTTTTATTATTGGACTTTTTCATTTACATAGCAAAAAAAATAAAAATTCCCAGCAGTGAATAAATACCACCAAAATAAAGCTTCATCTGTCTCAAAAAAATTAATATGGGTACAGTGTTGAATGAGCGCGCAATTGTCATTGAAAGTGTGATAGCGCTGAAAGCTGAAAATTGCCCTGGACTGGAAGGGGGTGAAAGTGTCCGGACTGGGAGGGGGGTGAAAGTGTCCGGACTGGAAGGGGGGTGAAAGTGTCCGGACTGGAAGGGGGGTGAAAGTGTCCGGACTGGAAGGGGGGTGAAAGTGTCCGGACTGGAAAGGGGGGGAAAGTGTCGAGACTGGAAGGGGGGGGGAAAGTGTCGAGACTGGAAGGGGGGGGGGAAGTGTCCGGACTGGAAGGGGGGGAAGTGGGGGGGGGGGGAAGCATCCGGACTGGAAGGGGGGGAAAGCGTCCGGACTGGAAGGGGGGGAAAGCGTCCGGACTGGAAGGGGGGGAAAGCGTCCGGACTGGAAGGGGGGGAAAGCGTCCGGACTGGAAGGGGGGGGAAAGCGTCCGGACTGGAAGGGGGGGAAAGCGTCTGGACTGGAAGGGGGGGGGGGAGCGTCCGGACTGGAAGGGGGGGGAAAGCGTCCGGACTGGAAGGGGGGGAAAGTGTCCGGACCGGAAGGGGGGGGGGAAAGCGTCCGGACTGGAAAGGGGGGGAAAGCGTCCGGACTGGAAGGGGGGGAAAGTGTCCGGATTGGAAGGGGTTAAGTACTTACATTTTCTTCAGGCACACTGTTACCTGTATACATATTAGTATGAGGAACGCATATCAAATCTCATTTATTTACCCTTTTAAAATGAAAAAAGTGTTTTTGTTTTTTTGTTTTGTTTTTGTTTATACCGCATATGTGGCTTTATTACATAATGTATTTATCCATATCCAGATACGGGTTTAACAGTCATGGCATAGAGGCGGTTCGCCAGAGACTCCTCAATAGGACAGAGAAGCAGAAGAAGCTGACAATTGGTAAGGAGACCTCAGCATTATCTTTGTTTTAACACTTAGAGAGGAGTTCCACCCAAAAGGGGAAGTTCCGCTGTAATGCAGGCCATACATGGTTCGAATTCCGAACGATTTTTCGTCCGAAAATCAGAAAAGTTGTTCACTGAGTAATCCGATAGCGCCATCATTGATTTCGAAAATCGGCTGACCAAGTTATAAAGTCCACCCCACATAACAGGCGAAACTTCTGTTCCTTCCAGGTCACGGCTCATGCGCATATTCTTTTCGGAAAAACGATCGCACGATTTGACCATCATTGAGTCGAACATTGGTCGTTTTTCACAAATTTTCCAACATGCCCTATCACCGAAAAGGGGAGGAACCACGAAAATCGTCCGGTGCCATTGACCCACTAACAGAGCGAAAATTGGCTGATTATTCTTAGGTCTGATTTTTCGGACAAAAAAATATATATTCTCCACATCCATTCAGGCTCCATGTACACTAGCGTTTTCTTTAAGCTCAGAAAATGCTGGTAATAGCATTCAGAGGCGTTTAGGAGTGTTAGCGTTTTTAGAGTACATGTAGAGGGAAAAAAATGTACGAGTCTGATCAAGAGAACCTGTCATCAAAAATCATCACTTAGGGGGACAGATTTGTCTGTGATGAGAAAAAAAAGTGAAGTAAAAAATTGTTCTTCTTAATTGTAAAAAAATTAAAGTTGCATCCAAGCTCAACCCCCAAAATGTTTTTTTTGATGCCCCCAGGCCCCCCCACATACAAAAGTAAACGCACACGCTTTGGGGTGACTACGCATGTAATCGTTGATTGCAATGCACATGTTACATATCGCCGCGCGTACGCCGGAATGAGAGCAATAATTCTAGCACCACCAGACCTCCTCCACATCGCTAAACTAATGACCTATAAGGGGGCTTTTAAAGCATCACCTATAGAAATATTGGATACTGGAGATTGGCTCCTAACTTTTTTAGCTGGCTCGTAGATTCAAAGCAAATTTGTCAAGAGCCCTGCTTTACAGGAAGGCAGTAAATATAGCGAGAGGCTTTCATCAGCCTGCTGCTAACTCTTTCTCATTGCCCAATCGCAGCCTTGGGGCTGATTGGTGACAACCTGATTAGCTTAACTCCTTCCCGCCGGCGCCTCCCGGCCCTTTAAGAGTTTCAGAAGCCAGGAGGCGGGGCGCGGGTTTAGCGGTCATGTGACTGCCATGACGCACCGTCACATGATCGGGAAAGGTCCCAAATCGAAAGAGGAAATCGGACCTTTCCGTGAGTACCGGACATGTGTGCTGGCTCCCAGCACACATGTCCGGTACTCCACGAAAGGTCCTGATCTCCTCTTTCGATTGGGACAGGGCAGGGCACGCGCTTTCGGCACATATGTCCTCTTTTTTTTAATAGAACGCAAATGTGCGGCCGCTCGACGTCTAGGCCCAGAGCCCGGGGATGCCGGACATTTGCATTCAGCCGGCGTGAAGAGGTTAAATGCCATAAAGTGAAGCTGAAGTCGCCAAGCCCTTCGTTCTGTGTTTGTCTGTAATTGCACCGTGTGCCTAGGCACATCTCTGATGCCGCGTCCCTGATTCTTTTTAGAGGGAATGCCGCTTGGAATAAAATCTTGGAAAAAACAAAGACGCGTCAGAAGATGCAGCTGCTGATTACACAACAGGGGTGCGAGAACAGGGCCCGCTGGCTGACTATCTGGTTATCAATGTGTCCAGTCCCAATACGCCGGGGCTTAGGGAACTGCAAGGCAAGAGAGCAGCTGCACCACCTGCTGGCCAAGGTGTGGAAAAGTTAGCTTTTGTGTGTAGCAGTTTGTGTCAATGTCTTTGGTTGAGTTTCAGTCCAATGTTTTCCCACTAGGGGTAGTGAGCGCACGGAATGCCTTGCCCACTGGCCACAGGCCGGCGTTACTGGTGAAGATTGCACCGGATCTTTCTCTGCGTGATAAGCAAGACATCGCCAGTGTGGTTACAGAGGTAAGCTGCTGTTGTATTATAGTTACATAGTTTAGTCTGGCTGAAAAAAGACAAAAGTCCATCCAGTTCAACCATTAAAAAAAAAAAAAAAAAAAAAAAAAAAGTTCTATACCTTCCAGAGGAAGGCAAAAAACCCAGCAAAGCACGATCCAATTTGCCCCTCCAGGGAAAAAAATTCCTTCCTGATCCCCCCGAGAGGCAATCGGATATTCCCTGGATCACCTTTCCCTATAAATGTTATATCCAGTTATATTCTGTGTATCCAAGAAAGAATCCAGGACTTTCCTACAGCAATCCACTGAGCTGGCACACAACCAACTCTTGAGGGAGTCTATTCCACATTCTCACAGCTCTTACTGTGAAGAAACCTTTCCCGTGTTTTGGAGATTACATTTCTTTTTCCTTCAGACGTAAAAGAGCGCCCCCTTGTCATATCTATCCTTATGTATTATACATGGAGATCATATCCCCCTTATGTATTATACATGGAGATCATATCCCCCTTATGTGTTATACATGGAGATCATATCCCCCCCCTTATGTATTATATACATGGAGATCATATCCCCCTTATGTATTATACATGGAGATCAATATCCCCCCTTATGTATTATCATGAAATCATATCTCCCCCCTTATTTATTATACATGGAGATCATATCCCCCCCCCTTATGTATTATACATGGAGATCATATCCCCCCCCCCTTATGTATTATACATGGAGATCATATCCCCCCCCCCTTATGTATTATACATGGTAGATCATATCCCCCCTTATGTATTATACATGGTGATCATACCCCCCCCTATGTATTTTATACATGGAGATCATATCCCCCCTTTTGTATTATACATGGAGATCATATCCCTCCCTTATGTATTATACATGGAGATCATATCCCCCCTTATGTATTATACATGGAGATCATAATCCCCCCTTATGTATATATACATGCTGATCATATCCCCCCTTATGTATTATACATGGTGATCATATCATCCCCCCCTTATGTATTATACAAGGAGATCAATCCCCCCCTTATGTATTATACATGGAGATCATCATATCCCCCTTATGTATTATACATGGAGATCATATCCCCCATATGTATTATACATAGATATCCTTAAGAGATCGTATCCCCCCCTTATGTATTATACATGGAGATCGTATCCCCCCTTATGTATTATACATGGAGATCGTATCCCCCCTTATGTATGTATTATACATGGAGATCGTATCCCCCCTTATGGTATTATACATGGAGATCGTATCCCCCCCCCCTTATGTTAATATACATGGAGATCGTATCCCCCCCTTATGTATTATACATGGAGATCGTATCCCCCCTTATGTATTATACATGGTGATCATCTCCCCCCCTTATGTATTATACATGGAGATTCGTATCCCCCCCTTATGTATTATACATGGTGATCATATTCCCCCCCCTTATGTAGTATACATTGGTGATCATATCCCCCCCCTTTATGTATTATAACATGGTGATCATATCGCCCCCCCCCCTTATGTATTATAACATGGTGATCATATCCCCCCCCCCCTTATGTATTATACATGGAGATCATATCCCCCCTTATGTATTATACATGGAGATCATATCCCCCCTTATGTATTATACATGGAGATCATATCCCCCCCTTATGTATTATACATGGAGATCATATCCCCCCTTATGTATTATACATGGAGATCATATCCCCCCCTTATGTATTTATACATGGAGATCATATCCCCCTTATGTAATTATACATGGTGATCATATCCCCCTTATGTATTATACATGGTGATCATATCCCCCCCTTATGTATTATACATGGAGATCATATCCCCCCCTTATGTATTATACATGGAGATCATATCCCCCCCTTATGTATTATACATGGAGATCATATCCCCCCTTATGTATTATACATGGAGATCATATCCCCCCCCTTATGTATTATACATGGAGATCATATCCCCCTTATGTATTATACATGGTGATCATATCCCCCTTATGTATTATACATGGTGATCATATCCCCCCCTTATGTATTTATACATGGTGATCATATCCCCCCTTATGTATTATACATGGAGATCATATCCCCCTTTATGTATTATACATGGAGATCATTTACCCCCCCTTATGTATTATACATGGAGATCATATCCCCCCCTTAATGTATTATACATGGAGATCATATCCCCCCTTATGTATTATACATGGAGATCATATCCCCCTTATGTATTTATACATGGAGATCACTATCCCCCCTTATGTATTATACATGGAGATCATATCCCCCCCTTATGTATTTATACATGGAGATCATATCCCCCCTTATGTATTATACATGGAGATCATATCCCCCTTAAATACCCCCTTATACATATTGGGGGGTTACTACTATTTTAAGTGGTTATGTTTCTGTCATTTTTAAATCCCATCTCTAGGCAGCTTTTAATATCGCTTTATTGTTGCTGCCCTCAGCTAGGTATTGATGGTTTGGTTGTTACCAACACTACAGTCAGTCGCCCCGACACCCTCAAGGACCCCCAGAGTGGCGTAGGTGGGCTGGCTGGGGGTGCTGAGTGGAGTTCCACTTCGAGACATGGCAACAGAAACCGTGAGAGAGATGTACGCGCTGACCTCAGGTGAGATTACTGGAGAATGTGTTGGCCAAAGTGTCTGAAATGGAGAGAACTGTCTGTGGGTCTTGCACAGTCTGTAAGTTTGATATATATATATATGTAGTAAAAGATGTTATAGTGAGCGCGATTTAAATGAAAAGGTGTATAAATATGTATACACAACAATGCTAATGAGCAGCTGATACATCGAAAAGGTAACCAAACAAAAACCTCCAATCAAACATATATATCAAATAGAATGGTGCAGCGCTAAATTATAGAACACAGTTTATACACACACAATATATGCACATGCGTGATATCACTCTGATGGTGATCTATAAATACAAAAGTTCAATGTAATAGTGCGGATCATGGAGAGATCCTGATTCCAGGTGAGTGGACGTCCTGATCCAAGGTGTGATGATAAGTGTGAACCACACAAATAGGTGAAAAACGCACTCACCAGATGTGCGTTTAACATACGCAATATGTAATCCTGTGTCACCAGGCCATAGAACGATCATCAGATCCCAGATCAGATTGCACCCAGATCACCATCCCGGCTCCACAGAAGTAAGGTCATCCGAAACTGCTACCAGGTATCACCACCAGGGTCCTGAGTCCTCCAGATGGGCACTGCGAATGATAGCACTCACACAGAGTGCCCAATAAGAGACCTCATAGCGTGATACTGCTCCAGTAGCAGCAGGACACCTAACCACCGTTGGTGGACACCCTGGAAACATATGGTCAGTAAACCTTTCGTTCAAAATCTTTTATGTACCCCACACCAACCAACCCTGAATAAAGGTATCTTAAGCAGTATCACGCTATGAGGTCTCTTATTGGGCACTCTGTGTGAGTGCTATCATTCGCAGTGCCCATCTGGAGGACTCAGGACCCTGGTGGTGATACCTGGTAGCAGTTTTCGGATGACCTTACTTCTGTGGAGCCGGGATGGTGATCTGGGTGCAATCTGATCTGGGATCTGATGATCGTTCTATGGCCTGGTGACGCAGGATTACATATTGCGTATGTTAAACGCACATCTGGTGAGTGCGTTTTTCACCTATTTGTGTGGTTCACACTTCTCATCACACCTTGGATCAGGACGTCCACTCACCTGGAATCAGGATCTCTCCATGATCCGCACTATTACATTGAACTTTTGTATTTATAGATCACCCATCAGAGTGATATCACGCATGTGCATATATTGTGTGTATAAACTGTGTTCTATTATTTAGCGCTGCACCATTCTATTTGATAAATACGTTATATATATATATATATATATATTTTTTTTTTTTTTTTAAACTGTCCCACTCAATCCTGTCCTAGGCACCCTACAGTGACTACATTTTTTTATCACCCCTTCCCTGCCGTCACACCCACAAAGCCACCAGCAATTGCCAAGAACATTGAGTATTGTCAACAATTGACACCCCTTCCCCCCATGTGACAGTGCTGGTGATTGGGTGATCAGCCCCAGTGCTACACTGTGGGGAGACCAGTAACACGTTACATACTTCCCCATACCCAGAAGTACTGGAATTCGTAGAGAACTGCAAACATTGGATGGTGTGGATGGGTTCAGGGATTTATTTGAACAGGTTTACATTAAAGTGGTTATAGTTACATAGTTAGTCTGGCTGAAAAAAAAAAGACAAAAGTCCATCCAGTTCAACCATGGAAAAAAAAAAAAAAAAAAGCCATAAAGTGTCTTTATCTTTATGCATTAAGTTAGAAAAACATTCAGAAGCGTCCCCCCCCCCCCCCCCCCCCCCCAAATATTAACCACCTCCCGTCCGGCCATTGTATATAAACGGCCAGGACGGTGGGGGGTCGGCCTCTCCCCACCCCCAGCTTGTGTGCGCTTCCTGGAAGCGCGCAGCACTGCAATCCGGTGCCTGCTGTGGACAGGACCTCTGTGCCAGGTCCCGATCATGTGATCACTGATTGACCAATCAGTGATCACATGCAGAGTAGTAAGCAAGATGTCACTTCTGACATCATTGCTTACTACATGTGAAATCTGTGAATGATCACAGAGATCACATGGTACAAGGCTATTCACAACAGCCTTGTACCATGTGACAAGCTGTGACCAATCACAGCTCACACAGTATTTCTCAATTGCTGCAGGAATGCCAGAGAGAAGGATAAATGATTGCTTTTACAGTCTTTATGGGGTGTAAAAGCAATCAGTGTAAAAAAAAAAAAATCTTCATCATCACCCCCCCACAAGTAGTACAGTATCACCATGGTGACACTGTACTGCTAGGGTGACAGTATGTGAAAAAACAAAACAAAAAAAACATTAACAATATAAAAAAATAAAATAAAAATGTAAAAAAAAAAGTTTAAAAACTATAATTTTTGGTTATAAACTAATTTGGGTTAATTTTTTTTTTTTTTTTTACTAAAAAAAGATATCAGAATACGTTTTGGACAAGATTTATGATGAAATATATTTATTTGCAAAATTTTATAAGAAAAACACTTTTTTTTCAAAATTTTTGGACTTTTTCATTATATAGCAAAAAAAATAAAAATCCCAGCGGTGAATAAATACCACCAAAATAAAGCTTTATCTGTCTCTCAAAAATATGCTAAAAAATTCATATGGGTACAGTGTGCATGACCGCGCAATTGTCATTCAAAGTGTGATAGCGCTGAAAGCTGAAAATTGAACTGGACAGGAAGGGGGTGAAAGTGTCCCGGACTGGAAGGGGGGGAAAGTGTCCGGACTGGAAGGGGGGGAAAGTGTCCGGACTGGGAAGGGGGGGAAAGTGTCCGGACTGGAAGGGGGGGAAAGTGTCCGGACTGGAAGGGGGGAAAGTGTCCGGACTTGGAAGGGGGGGAAAGTGTCCGGACTTGGAAGGGGGGGAAAGTGTACCGGACTTGGAAGGGGGGAAAGTGTCCGGACTTGGAAGGGGGGGAAAGTGTCCGGACTTGGAAGGGGGGGAAAGTGTCCGGACTTGGAAGGGGGGGAAAGTGTCCGGGATGGAAGGGGATGAAAGTGTCCGGACTGGAAGGGGGTGAAAGTGTCCGGACTTGGAAGGGGGGGAAAGTGTCCGGACTGGAAGGGGGGGAAGTGTCCGGACCTGGAAGGGGGGGAAGTGTCCGGACCTGGAAGGGGGGAAAGTGTCCGGCCTCTGGCCAAGACTGGAAAGTGGTGAAAGTGTCCGGACTGGCAGGGGTGGTGAAAGTGTCCGGACTGGAATTGGGGGTGAAAGTGTCCGGACTGGAAGGGGGGGAAAGTGTCCGGACTGGAAGGGGGTGAAAGTGTCCCGGACTTGGAAAGGGGGGGAAAGTGTCCGGACTGGAAGGGGGGGAAGTGTCCGGACTTGGAAGGGGGGGGGGAAGTGTCCGGACCTGGAAGGGGGGAAGTGTCCTGGGACTTGGAAGGGGGGGAAAGTGTCCGGACTTGGAAGGGGGTGAAAGTGTTCCGGACTGGAAGGGGGGGAAAGTATCCGGACTTGAAGTGGTTAACCTAATCCCTGTATTGATCCAGCTCTGTGCCCGTCAGCAGCAGCTCTGCTCTTCCCCTCTCTGCTCTTCCACAGGTTCGGCTGAGAACCGTGGTAGCCGTTGGGTCCTGCCGCTGTCAGTCAAATAGCGGCACACGCAACACCCACCCACACAGAGGAATGTGGGACCCGCACAAATACCGGCAGCCGCAATCACCTACACAGAGGAATGCGGGATTCACGGGGGGGGGGGGGCAATTAATCCTAATGGCACACCACCCGCACTGGAAATCACAACTGTACTGGGAACTCTGTTCCCGTGTAGGCTGTGATTTTAAAAAAGTGCAGGGACTTTTTTCATGTGTGTCCTGGGCCACGGCAGCCCATTCAAATGAATGGGCTCTCCTGCCCGTACAAATCGCGGTCCGCACGGACACAACCTAGCCTTACACTGACAATTAGGAAGACTCGATGAACTATTACAGCGTCATGGCAGTTCATTGAGAACTACATTCCGGCATCTGCAAAGGCTGTCGGGATTTGTAGTTTCCCAGTCACAGAACTCTGTGAATGAATGACACTGCCAGGTGGGCTAGCTGTCACAATTGTTTAAGATCCCCTGCTAGCTGTCACAATGGGGGGATTGGATTGGTGGGGTATAGGGGGGCCGGTCCTACACTAACATGTTACATGTTATCAATAATCATTCGGCAAATTCTACCCTAAAATTAGTGAAATTCCCACTACAATCACCCCTGAAGAAAAGTAACACTTTCACCCTTGAAAGCAAATAATAATAACAAAATAAACCTTTTCCTTCACTTATACTCAAAAACCCATATATAAGAATACAAAAAAAATAAATAATGAAATAAATAACTAAATAAACCAAAAACCATAAATATATCCAAAGATAAATTAAAATAATTCAGAATAATTGAATATCCAAAAAAGTGTCCAAGTAATATCCGAAACAATAAAATCAAATAAATAATAGTCCACCAAAAGTATCTCAATCCAGTTGTGTTCAACTTTCAATACTCCATTCCGAACCTCGTGATACCTCGAAAAAATCTAAACTATAATAGTGTATTACCTTCTAGATATTATATGAATGTATATACCTTAAAACATATAAGTATTTACTAAATCCGCGCAAAAAAAAAAAAAAAATATATATATATATATATATATATATATGTGCACAAAAAATATACTCTTCAACTGTGGGTGACACGTGAATCATGCAAAAATAATTCTGTGTACACTCCACCAATAAGTGAAAATAGTGTACACTCAAAACAACAACAGCACACACAAAAAAAAAATAAAAATGTTACGAAAGGTGAACTTATCCTTCAATGAGATGAAGTCTGGTTGCTGAAAGCGGCAAAGTTTTGGTGTCGTACACTTTGGCACATTGAGCTCTGATGTCCATATCCCTTCCTTACTGTCCCGTTAATCCTTTCTTTCTCAGGCAAGGTCCCCATTATTGGAGTGGGTGGTATCAGTTGTGGTTTGGATGCTCTTCAGAAGATCCGTGCAGGTGCTTCTCTCGTCCAGCTGTATACCGCCCTCACCTATCAAGGACCTCCCGTTGTAGGAAAAGTGACACGGGAACTGGAGCAATTGCTTATGTAAGTTAAGAAGTCCCATTGGTAACATTTAGAAACAATCAAATGGTACCAACGTCAGTATATATCACCGTCCCTGATTCCTTGTGTTCTCTCCACAGTGAGCAAGGATTTTCCGGTGTCTCAGAAGCGTGGGGCGCTGATCATAGGACAATAACTCAGGATTCATCAGTTAACTCATAAGAAAGACTTGTTGGGATACGTATGCTGATCAGTATTGTGGCCCAATCATGTCAAAGTGGCAGCGCCTGTACATAGCCCATGCCTCCGTCACCAGGCATGTATCCTGGTCCACCCATGCTCTCTCACCACCTCCCAGCTGCAGTATTTGTTGGAGGAGTGTAACGGAACCGGACCCCAACTGCGCTAGGGTATTTCCATTAGACTCCCGCTTCCCTGTCCGAACACAGATCCCCGGACACCACCGCTGACCAAGCAGGAAATAGCACCAGACTCTTCTTAAGACAGGAAGTCAACTGCTTTATTATAACACAAACACAAGATATATACACAGAGCGGGGAAATACAACCAAGAACAGGAAACACATCAGCAGGCCACCCCATCAGGGGGAAGGGCTGCAGGAAACACCCCCCACCAAACCAAGACACGCAATAGAACAAAGGGATACACCACATGACAGCAGACAATACAGGGACACATACATCCCATAATAGTTTGCTGGCAAACAAGACACAATAGAACAATGGGATGCAACACATGGCAGTGAACAATGAACAACCCCCACACCAATACACAATATCAGGACAGACCACCCTGTACCCCTAACAGGCGCAGGGTGGGTTACACATAAGAGGAACAACAGGGGTCCCCTCCACCCCCAAAAGTCACTTCACAAGGAAGACCTCATGGGCCTCCATATGACAGCGCTCATACCTGATGACTAAGTGTTCTGAGCACTTTTACCATGGGGGAGGTTGCACGTTTTTTCGAGCCCAAATGCTCTGCTCCAATAGTACGGCTTTTACGGTGTGGGAGTGTGACTTCGTACATAAAGCTCCTTTTGGGTTGGACGGGGAGGGGTTGAAGACACTTTCAGTGCACCTTTTTAGGTGCATTGTTCCTCTTAAAATGATAAGAAGTGGGGATATCAATCATTCTTCACAATATCAAGTAGCACAGAGTTGTCAGGATATGATGGGACTTATAGTTCCCCGAAAGCTGCAGGAAAGAAAGATTCTTATAGCTGCTAATGTATCTCCTTACTGGTTCCATCTAGTCTAGGCTTCTGTTCTTCTACATGGTGCTCGCTGCTGAAGACTTTACTTGAACTTGGGAAATGAATGGACTTTGTCAGTTATTTTGTCCCGATATCACTCGCAAATATCTTGTAATAAAATGTGACGCATCTTTGTAATATTTATTTTGGTTCGTCTCTACTTTTTTCATTTTAATTCAGGAGTGGACTTAGCAGAAATACAGTTAGGTCCATATATATTTGTTTGGATACAGGCACAATTTTCTGTATGCCGCCAGAATAAATTAAAACGAAACAATCCAAATGAATTTGAAGTGAAGACTTTCAGCTTTAATTCAAGGGGTTGAACATAAATATTTTTTGCGTTGAGCAGCGACTTATCAAGGGACTGTGATAGTGCGGCGGGCAATCTGACGCTGAGAGGACCAAAACTGCCGCTGACATCACCAGTGATAACACTATACACTGTCACTGTACTAATGTCACTGGCATCTAGAGGCAATTAAGGGGTTAAATGTGTGCCTACAATGTGTTACGTGTGTAATATTTGAGTAACCGATTTCATTGTTTCTGATTCCAGTTCCCTGTGTTAAAGAGCTCTGTGTTGTTTGTAAACACAGAGTTCTGGGCTATGATTGCACACAGCCGATCAGCAGGTCCCACCCATGAATCATGGGCTTGGACCTGCTGACAAACTCCTGCTGCGTACAATCGCAATCCACAATACATTGGCGGGCGGTCTGGAAATGGTTAAGGTGACACTGAACTCTGGTTTAACAACTTGCATTGCAGGAGCGGGTGGCTGTTTATAAACGTCTTCCCTGCTCCCTGCATGTGCGCTCTCCCTGGGAGTGCGCTGCACCGCGACCACTGTACGGGACCTCTGTGTGTGTATCATGTGATCACTGATTGGCCAATCAGTGATCACATGAATAGTAGTAACTTCCTGACATCATTGCTTACTACGTGTTATATCTGTGAATGATCACAGAGGTCACATGGTACAGGGCTAGTCACAACAGCCTTGTACCATGTGACGAGCTGTGACCAATCACAGCTCACACAGTAGTTCTCAATGACTGCAAGAATGCAGCTAGAGAGAAGGAGAAGTGATTGCTTTTACAGCCTTTAATCAGTGTAAAAAAAAAAAAAACAAAATCTGCATCACTCCCCAGAAGTAGTACAGTGTCACCATGGTGACTGTAAAGGAGATTGTACAATTGGATTGTAATATGTATGGCTCTCTTATAACGGATCTCCACCCAAAATGGGAAATTTCTCTTTAAGGCCTCATACCCTGTTAAAGATTTGGCACCTTTGCGGAGCTGGAGGGGGGTGGGTAGCGGGTATCCAATTTTGAGATGTACCCACTCCCACTGCGATCAGGGGTGTATGTAGGTTTCATGCTGCCCTAGGCAACACAAAAATTGGCTCCCTCACCCTTCACGGAGAGACCCTGACACCGACCAACACCCCCTCCTCCACGAAAGGAGCCTCACATTGACCAACAATACCCCAGTCCCCCCCACCCAGGAGAGCCTTCCACTACAACTGCCCCCCACACAGTGGCAATCTTCCCCCACCCTGGTGAGAGTGAAGACACCCCCCTTCATAGTTCTGGTCATCCCCGGGAACAAGAGTCAGGCTCTGCATACACAATCAAGCAGCCCGCAGCCTCTCTCAGGTCCCACCTGGTCCCCATGCTGCGTGTGTCCCATCCTCCACCCCATCTTTCAGGGGGCAGCGCTGCCCCCCTGAAAAATGATGTCCTAGGCAAATGCCTTGTTTGCCTTGTGGTAAATACGCCACTGACTGCGATCACCTAGGGAGGCAGAAGTTGTCCTCTTCCCCGTAGTCTTCTGGAACACATGACAAGTCCCAGAAGACTAAGGGACCACTCACAAGGCGCAGCGCTTACTCACGCATGCGCAGTCTGTGAAGCCGTCACAGCCGGGTGCCCACACTTAGGACGCTGGCGCTGGGAAGAGAGGATGGCTGTGGTGAGGACACCGCTGGATCGCAGGATAGGTGAGTGTCTGTTTTTTAAAAGTCAGCGGCTACAGTTTCAGTAGCCACTGCCTTTGATTTTTTTTTTACATTTTGGCTTTAGAATTCCCAGTCTAAAGTCTGTAAAGAATGGAGATTTCAGGGACTGTTCCCTGCAGATGTACATTTCTATTAGATGTGACTGAAATTCTCTCCAGTGACCATTAGGTGGCAGTATTGTACCACTCTATGGTAGCCTCCAATCACCTGTCTCCCTATTCAGATGCATTTTTGTAATTGTGATTTGTAGCTCCTGTACCACCCTGCTGGTTATATGGGGGCTCCTGCATGGGTTGTCACCACTCTGCTCCATGAGTATACCTTGCAGAGTCTGGAGCGGGTTTTTTTCTGGTTTATACATCCGTCTAGAATCTTCCATCTGCCTATACAGCAACACAACTCATTTATCAAAGTGTCTGAAATAAACACCGAACCATCGGGTTCAGACCTCCAGATTGCTGCAATGCAGGTTTGAAATGGACTTTTTTTTTTTTTCTCTGATGAATGAGCCTAGGAAGTTTACATGAGATTGCAGGGAGTCACTGGGGGGGGGAGGGGGGAGATTTACTAATACTGGAGAGTGCAAAATCTGGTGCAGCTCTGCATAGTAACCAGTCAGCTTCCGGACCCCGCATTCAATATATCCGCTTCCCCCGGACCCTGCATTCACTATATCCGCTTCCCCCGGACCCCGCATTCACTATATCCGCTCTCCCCAGACCCTGCATTCACTATATCCGCTCTCCCCGGACCCCGCATTCACTATATTTGCTGTCCCTGGACCCCACGTTCACTATATCCGCTCTCCCTGGACCCCGCGTTCACTATATCCACTCTCCCCGGACCCCGCGTTCACTATATCCGCTCTCCCTGGACCCCGCGTTCACTATATCCGCTCTCCCCGGACCCTGCATTCACTATATCCGCTTCCCCCGGACCCCGCATTCACTATATCCGCTCTCCCCGGACCCTGCATTCACTATATCCGCTCTCCCCGGACCCCGCATTCACTATATTTGCTGTCCCTGGACCCCACGTTCACTATATCCGCTGTCCCTGGACCCCACGTTCACTATATCCGCTCTCCCCGGACCCCGCATTCACTATATCCGCTCTCCCCGGACCCCGCGTTCACTATATCCGCTCTCCCCGGACCCCGCGTTCACTATATCCGCTCTCCCCGGACCCCGCGTTCACTATATCCGCTCTCCCCGGACCCCGCGTTCACTATATCCCCTCTCCCCGGACCCCGCGTTCACTATATCCGCTCTCCCCGGACCCCGCGTTCACTATATCCGCTCTCCCCGGACCCCGCGTTCACTATATCCGCTCTCCCCGGACCCCGCGTTCACTATATCCGCTCTCTCCGGACCCCGCATTCACTATATCCGCTCTCCCCGGACCCCGCATTCACTATATCCGCTCTCCCCGGACCCCGCATTCACTATATCCGCTCTCCCCGGACCCGCGTTCACTATATCCGCTCTCCCGGGCCCGCGTTCACTATATCCGCTCTTCCTGGACCCCGTGTTCACTATATCTGCTCTCCCTGGACCCCGCATTCACTATATCCACTTATTATAATTATTATGACTAAGGCCCAGAGTGTTTCGGGCTGAAAAACGTCAATCTATTTACATGATGAATTCTTTTATGTCTTGATGGATGACCAATAGTCTACTACACTTTTATTGTATACTGTGTCTGTGCCAGACGTTTACTCTCTTCGCGGCAACCTATGGCATGTAC